CCCAATTTCATTACTTCATTATGATGGCTACCAAGCCTTTGAGATTTTCCTTATTGAAGAGTTGAATAGATTCATGATAAATGGTATTCCCAAATGCCACAACTGAACAGATAACAAGACACACAGCCATAACGGAAGCATTCACCCATTTGGAAAATGAAGCAATACATAAATTATTTATGATACCAACTGCAACAGGTATTTCTGGTTATTGATTCAATGATAATTATTGAATCAAAAACAATGAAAGTGCGTCAAGCAATTGAAAAGTGCACTGTTTAGTCGGTTTCCCTCAAATGTTTGGAATAGAACAAGGAATAGAAATAGAATGTACATTATTTACACTATAACTAGTATCGTCCAATTTAAGAGTGAATTGCGACAAAACCCGCTGGTATTACATTTGATGTCAGTGCCTTTATATAAACGTACTACGACGTGGCTAAAAATGAATAAAAATAATATGTCTAGACTAACATTTGAAAGGGGCGGAAGAGCCAAAATGTAAACAAACAATATTTTGCCGCAAATAGAAAGAACAGTTCACAAACTACTCGATAAGCACGAACAAGTAGAAGAAAATATCATTTCAAATCTTCAAACACGTTTTCTTTTACATGGCGTATTTCACTTTCCACCAGAACTACGAATTATATTGTTTTAATATGACAAACGTACTGATTCTGTAGTATCTAGTCACGCCCGATTCATTTGAAATGCATCCGATTGATACTTCACGTGTAAACAACGAACGAACAAAGACCAAACAATCTCTGGGCGTAATTCCACTCTCACAAAATTTGCGAATAAAGAACTAAGGCGGAACAACAAACAAAAAATCCCGAGGGTGTATTTTCACGGCGTATCACCAGTGTTGGCAGTTCAAAGGGTGGAAGATCCGGGGGGGGGGGGGGGTAACAACAAGTAAGAAATTATCAAGGCGTATGATGTTTTCTTCTCCATTTCATTGCAAAAAAAACTTTTAATGATTAATGATGATAGATTACACTAATAACTATATTTCAAGCTAATAAAATCATCCAGGAAATGGAAATTCGCGAAATAGGATTAATTTTTAATTCATCAAAATTCGGAAGCGATTTCCTCGATGTGGTGGTTTTGGAACTCCGCCCTTTTTAAATGTTAGTCTAGATGTGATACCATTACTTCGGGCCATTATCTTGGTCTCCCATGCAGGCCTACAGCACAAGATTAGGCACGGAAGGGTAGGCAGAAATCCAAGAATGTTGTAGACGAATTCTGAAACGTGTCCTGAGTAAACATTTTTCAAGATTCCGTTCACAAAAAGTCGATAATGATCCAAAAATTTAGTTCTTATGCTTGGACATTTTTATAGGTTTGTGTTTATTGCAAATCTAAATGATTCGGGGACAAAATCATTCAAAATTCTGGATTTAAAAAACAATATCTTGAACATGGATTTATTTGTTAATATGCATAAAATAGAGCTTTCTAGAGCTCAGTGGCGTCGCGTAACCTCACTTTTGACCTGTGCACCAAACGTGATATTTTAAAATATTTATATTCAAAGCGATTACAAAATGCACAGAATCTTGTAGTTTTGCTGATATTTTTCTCCATTGGAAGCTATATTTTGAGATTTGTTAACGTTTTGAGAGCTGGTGCACAGGTAGATTGAGGTTAAGGTGACGCCAGCTATAAGTTTTCCTCTAATCTCTAGTTTAAAAATTTTCATTACAAATTTCTCGCGTAACTTTTCAAAAGGTCCTAAGTAACAAATGTAAACAAATTGATTTAATCGATACAAACTATTAATTGCTTTTCTATCATTGTTTGTGATACAAAAACACCCATTCAAATTTACTTTCACTTATTTTAGATAATCATTGGTCAAACATTGTCCAATATACAGTTTGAAATAATGGGTACGTGATTGTTACTTCGGACATTTGGACTGCCAAACATGATTGGTGCTCTTTTTCTAAAGGTGGGACATGGAAAACCAATCAAAGGTTAGGAACTCTATTCTGAAATCTGTGAAAGGGAATCTTGTATCATATAGAACAAAACGTCCAATGCAGCACTCAACACCCAATGTACCAAGTCCCATGTACAGCTTGACTAGTCAAAAAGTCCTAAGTGGTTTTTTTTTCTATATTGTAGCTTGAAATTCAAAGTAAAATTGTGATTTCTACTGAATTTCAACGTTATTATTCACTGACTACAGTAAAAATAGTATTGTTTCTAAACAGTTAAAATAATAATCTGTCGAACTTCAACTTTAAACAAAGTGACGCGCGATTTCAGGTTAAATTGTATCAATGATTTTTGACATCTTGGACGACATGATTTCTAGGCTTCAAATTTCTCATTAAAGTCATCTTCTAGAGACCTTTAAGCTCTTTAAGACGAATGTTTTATCGAAAAAGTTTTTCTGTATCTCTTTTAATACACAAGATATACCCAATTATAGTAAAAAATATGAATAGGTTAAAATTGATTTTGTACGAGTTTAAAAAATAACATTCCTCTAATTTTTTTCATATAATTGAGAATAACATACGCCCTTTTAAATGTCGTAAAAGAACTTTTTTTTGTTTGCCACAACCAGAGATATTTATATTTGAAAAGAGCATATTTTAAGTAGAAAAATGTCAAAAACTCTTGATCGGTGAAAGATATCGACAAGCTCTGTGCAGTAAAAATTTGTGCGTTCTAAAGATCTAAATGATATTTGAAAACACCTTTGCTGAGAAATTTGAAATAAGAAATCTATAGCAAAACAACTGTTTTTTTAGAGACACCCTAATTCAATTAAAGAAAATAGCTCCAAATCGGTCAATTTAAGAGATACAAAAAAGTTCTAGAGCCCCGTAACCTGGATAGATCACCTCTTCGTGGTACGTTACGGGATGTAAGATCTACCACCGATTCCTAGTCCTAACTACTTCAAACTAGGGGAACAGGATTTTTCAGTAATCCAAGGAACACATCTTAGTCCTTGTTACTTTTTATGCCTTGTTGATAGTGACAAGACTCGGCTTTGTCTACCGAGGATGATCTTGAAACAAGGAAAAAAAATAAGTTAGTCGATGTGATTCCTAATCTTCTATTCGTTGTTCCCTAGTTTGAAGTGGTTAAGACTACACGAAACGAAAATCAATTATTTTATTTATGTGTTTCACTTATACATTTTTGCCAAAACATCAGCCTTATACATTACATAAGACAAATCACATAGGTCCTATAAGAATGCATAAAAGGTATGTGTGACCGCTTATACATTTCATTTGACACATCATCTTCATTAACTTTTTGCAAGGCGTCTGCTTATAAGTTGACTTATACATTTTATGAATAATCAGCAATAGAAATTTGCCAAAAGGTATAAGGAGATTTCTATCCGTGTAGGGTTCTGATGCATGGTCATTATCGGTGTCATACCTTAATTTTGTTGCTAAGGAATCCAATTTTGACTGACAAAGGGAAGTGCCTTTGGAGGGTGTTTCAACACTCCTAAGGGTATAAATAGCGGGACCTTTCAATTAGAGTCGAATCCTTGCGATAAATGCAAGAGTGGCAACTGTAAAAAAATTGAATAATACTTCATCATTTCTCAATAGTGATGGAGTAATACGACATGCACTAAACTAAGGAGGACACGGGATATACTACAATAGATCAATTTACTGGTCGCAGTAGTGTTAGGTCCCGAACAGAGGAAAAAAAAGTTCGTACAAAGCTGCTTAAAATTAGCTCAGCTATAACTTTGCCGAATAATGTACACTCAGGTCTTTTTTTACACGGGGGATACGTACCGTGTAAAAAAAACCGTGTAAAAAAAAACCTACGAGATTTTAATTTTTCGCATGCTTAAATGTTTTTAAAAAATCGGATTTTGATGCCATTTGTAATTAAAGCATGATATGGTCCATACAGACATATTTTAAAAATTTCTGTATTTACACCAAAAATTGTGATTTTTTTCTAAGTATGCCATTCGATTACCTATAGCTTGAAACGGATAATGTGAGTGGAATCAAGTTGATAGGTTGTATCGTTGTCGAGAAATCGTTAAAAACGTTCCGTGTAAATCGTGGAAAACCGTGTAAAAAAAAAACCGCGTAAAAAAAAACCGTGTAAAAAAAGACTTCAGTGTATACCTTAATTTCTACAAACAAAAAAGTTAGATTTTTATTTCAGTGATAATAAGAACCACCCTAGAATTCATTGTCATAAAAATGAGGGCCTAACTATAAGGAAAAACTTTGTAGAAGAGACTTTTAGTCTAAAGCTTCAATTGCAGGCTCAAAACATATCCTTCCACCTAAATGTGCATTCTGGACCACTGTGCAGTGGGGGAAGGAGAGGATTAACAGAGGTACCGTACAAAATAGTCAAGAAATATTGTAACATTACAAATTTTAAAGTATTCTAAATCATGGTCTACACAGAGCCCACATGAAACCAAACTAGTTACTTAAGTCATGTCACTCCAATTCTAAAACTTCATTTCATTTTTTTTCTTGAATGCAGTTTTGCCGATTCTTTGGTTCTGTCACAATGTATGGTCGGAAGTTCAAAGTTCAAAAACACATCCATACACGTGAGTGAATCCACCCACATGAAGCATCACCTCGACCTTGAGAACCCTCATCAGTGCAATGCTCTTCATCAACAATGACAGCTCTTTGTGTATTTATACGACTTTGTAAACCATCCTGCCCGCCGGTGGCCCGCTTTGATCCAATCATCTGTGACACTGAACGAGAATACATCTTGTCTATCAAGAGTGAATTTTCGAATAGCCGTATCCAAAATGCAAACGTCAATTTGTCAAAACTCTTTACGCTTCCTTGATGGTGGTGTTAGTTTGCGTGGGTGAGCTAAAAGTTTCGACAAATTGACGTTTGAATCTTTGTTTACAAAAGCAGATACGGTTATTGGAAAATTCTCTCTTGTTATCTTGTGCACCCATCATCTAACACGACAAACTAGCATTATGAGATCACACTTACCGGGAATGCCCGAATCCGCATCTTGCCTTCCTTTTTCTGTGTTGAAATTCGGCTCATTTTGGCAGCAAATTTCCTATCTCCTACTGGACTCCTCTCGATATACTATCTCCTTCCCCGTGTAGACGATTTTGCCTGCGTCGCACGCGAACACTGCTACTGCGACGACGACGACGACGACGACAACAGCGAAGGGAGACAGATCCAACCAGCTGTGGTTTCCAGTCAGTGATGGCAGAATGAGGAAAATCTGCTCGATTTTTCCTCCACCCTCACCCACGCTTCTACCACTCAATCGCACTACCCGTCTCTTCTTTGTGACGTTACTCTGGTTTTTGGCTTCTCTTCTCCACAGTAGCACTTGCTTATTTTCGGTATCTTATGATTTGATTACCAATCAATTTGATTCTGCGATTCTGCTTCTTTTTATCTATTTTCGCACACACAAACACCAACGCTGTACCGAAAATTTGCGAGTTTTTTTTCTCTTTCGCCAAACCTACGGCGCGTGACTCCGCGATTCCGCTTATCTTCGCCTCAGCTCATGCACTTGAAACGCAACACAATGGACCACGAATCGCAACGACTGTGGAAAAGGATTTCTTCTTTTGTTTTTCTAACACTTTCCTGGTGCGTTGTTACGGCGGTGGGCCTACCGATACTTCACTTTCAGCAGTCTCTCAGTGATTATGGTGATGGCAACGACGATGACGGTACATTGCTTCGGTGTTGGTGACGGCCGACGGTGATGATTTATGAATGATTCGCACGGTGTCGATTAAATTCATTATTTTACTCTGCATTGGCCTTCCTCAGTGGATAAATTTCGGGAAGAATCTATTGTTTTCTTTTCTTCCTGGTAATAACACAACGCTAGTCACGAGTGTCTTTCCTGCACTCTGTACTACGGAGAGAAGATTATTTTTCGTTAATGTGAGTGCTGTCGATTGAATTGATGAATATTTGTCTCGGTATTAACTGGTGGATGCAGTGAGTGGTTTGTCGAATAAAATTGATCCAAAAAATATTGAAACGACAATAAAAAGGTATGCCTGATCTGTTATAAACCAATGCATATACAGATTCTGTAGCGTAGGCGTCGGAAGACTTTTAACATAAAGTATAAAATTATTGGTAGCTAATTTTATGAATTAAGATGATTTACATCGTAACATTGGAGCTACAAAATCATCTTGTGAAGTTTTTGTATGGAGATATTGATGGAAATTGCAAGGGAACGTAGTAGAGTCTTAGTCAAATGTAAGAACAAAACTTCAAGGGGGAAACCGATGAGGTATCTTCTGGAAAAATCTGGGAGATCTTCTGAGACGTTCAGAGAGGAATTCAGGGAAGCTCCAGGAAGTTTCGAATGCACTTTAGGGAAGTTTCGAGTGAATTTCAAAGAAGTTCCGAGCGAACTTCAGAGACATTCCAAACGAACATTAGGGAAGTTTTAAGCAAACTTCAAAAAAGTTCTCATGGAAATTCTTATGGAACTTCAGGAAAGATTTCAGGAAAGTTTTCACGGAACTTCAGGAAAGTTCTCAGTTAGAGAAGTTTCGAGTACACTTAAGGAAAGTTCTCATGGAACTTCAGAAAAGTTCTCATGGAACTTCAGAAAAGTTCTCATGAATCTTCAGGAAAGTTCACACTTAACTTCAGGAAAGTTCTCATGGAACTTCAGGAAAATTATTTTGGAACATCAAGAAAGTTCTCATGGAAGTGAAGTTCTCATGAATATTCAGAACAAAGTTGTTGAGTTCATCTAGTATTATGAAAATATGGGCCATAAGCTACCATCTACATTGAAAAAAAAATCAGTTTTGGCAAAAACGCATATTAAATCTTGCTTTTCTTTAAGCTAAGGAGGTTGAATGCGATTGTTACACGAGTTGATGTTCCTATTTATAAAAATTATATTTATGGCAGTGAAATAGAAAATTCCACAGTCACTCATTTTTTAATCATTGGTGAAAAGCACATGGAACTTCAGGAAAGTGCTAATGGAACTTCAGGAAAGTTCTCATGGATCTTCAGAGAAGTTCTCATGGAACTTTAGGGAAATTCCAAACGAACGTTAGGAAGTTCGAAGCGCGCTTCAGGATAGTTCTCAGGGAGCGACACCGGTGGTGTAATGGTAAGCGTGACTGCCTCTAACTTCAAAGGGCCTGGGTTTAATCCCAGTCGGCGCCGTCGGGATTTTCTGAAGCATAAAATCTCTGATTACGGGAAGTAAAGCCATTGGTCCCAGGTCCATGAGTTGATGGGTCGATATGTAAGGTCCAGGTGTGGGAGCTGCCTCCCTGGCGCCGGAAGCATTGGTACTCAGTACAGGAAACAAGATCGACGAAAAACAAATCAAGGAAAGATAAATAAAAGTTCACAGGAACTTCCGAGAAATTCTCAGGAAATATCAGAGAAGTTCACAGGGAACATTAGAGAAGTTCTCAGGGTACCTCAGGGACTTTATGTTCTTCTGGAATTTCTCTAAACTTTCTTGAAGCTCCCTAGCAATTTTCTTGATGTTCCCTCGGAAATTCTGGTAAGTTCACCCGGAATTTCTCTTAATGTGTTCCATGAAATCCCGTCAGAATATACATGATGTTCCGTCGGAACTTCTCTGAAACTCTCTTAACTTATCTGACGTTCGCTTGCAAGGTGGCAACTCAAAAGTTCAACCGAAATTCCCTGAGTTTTCCAACACATTTCATGATGGATAAAAAATCATCACACGGAAACCAATGTCTTCAACTGTGACCAGTGACTGATTAATCAATTTTTGAAATAAAGTGAAAATCACTGCCTTCAATGATCATATCCTCCAGTGTGCAGTTAACTCTCTATGTGTGCTTGTTGGCTCTCCGAGAAAGTTAACGTAGACAAGCGGTGTCAAGTCGTCTCTCCGTGATTAACCGAACGTTTGTTTGCTCTTTGTAAGCTCTCTTATTCACCGTGTTGCGCAAGATATGTGGATAGGAAAACGAATTGTATGGTGTGGTGCTATAGGAATCAGTCTGTACAGTCAAGAATTATACGTTCTGATTATAACTTGTATGACATGTTGGTCGATTCCAATGCCAAACCAAGAGCTTATTTCTATTCAATCAACTATTACATTTTGAAAATGCTGCAAATTGGTTTGTTTTTAAAAATTCTCGGACTAAGTAAAGTTCATTATATAATCATTTCATATTCATTGGATAATCTCAAACGTTTGTTCCGTGAACTTGTTCTTATGAGTGATATGCTTAACCGCCTTGCTCCTTCAAGCATCGTTAGACTAGCGCGTTGGATGTGCGCCTCCTAATCATGAAGTTCATGGTTCGAAGCGTGGTTGCGGCTTTTTTTTCTAACGAGCATTTTCAGCATGAGCGTGAGCAATTTTCATACGATTGTCTTATGACTAAGTATCATACGAGAATCGTATGATATTCCAAAGAACATCTTCTAAATTCCTTTCGATTTAATCGTTCAGTTAAGAGAAGAAGTTGTAAGGCCAATGAATGTTTTGGACCTATAAATTGATTGGTTGATTCAAGCTTCTCTAGTTGATAACCTTATTTTATTTTTTATTTACGAAATTGCGATCGCTAAGCTTGATAGGCTAGGGATCGGAGGAAATCTTTTGAGATGGTTTCGTTCATACCTCACGGAGCGCCAATTGACAGTAACTTTGGGTACTTGTCGTTCAACAAGTTTCTGCGCAAAGTCCGGTATACTTCAGGGTAGCCATCTGGGACCATTGGTATTTCTCCTTTACTTCGACGACGTTCACCATGTTATCACAGGGCCACGATTATCGTTTGCAGACGATCTGAAAGTTTTTCTGCGCATCCGCTCACTCGCCGACTGCCGTTCTCTCCAAACTCAGATTGACATCTTTTTGCTGACTGGTGTAGTCTAAACCGACTGGTGGTCAACACAGCTAAGTGTACAGTTATTACTTTGTCACGCAAGAAACAACCGATTATTTTCAACTACAAACTAATAAGCACGACTATCGAACGGGTGCATTGCGTGAAAGACTTAGGCGTTTTTCTAGACTCAAAGCTGTCATACTCACACCATATATCGTATGTCGTCGACAAAGCGTCCAGAACTCTTGGCTTTGTCTTGAAGATTACTAAGAACTTCACAGACATTTACTGCTTGAAATCGCTCTATTGCTCTCTCGTACGATCTACGTTGGAATACTGCTCTGCAGTCTGGAGCCCGAACTACAATAATGGGGCCGAGCGAATTGAATCTGTGCAACGACGTTTTCTTCGCTCCGTAAGCTGCCTTGGAGATACCCACTTCGTCTTCCAAGCTACGAGAATCGCTGCCAATTGATCAATGTCGAGCCCTTATGTATCCGAAGAGATGTTTTCAGAGCCTTAACCGTCGCCGATACTCTGCAAGGAAGAATCGACTGCGAAGCAATTCTACAACAAGTGAACATTGATGTTCAACCTCGATCACTACGCAACAGTCTTATGCTGAGACTTCCACTTCTTCGAACTAATTATAGCTTAGGGAGCGCTATTTACGGCTTGCAGCGAGTGTTCAACCGACTAGCGTAGATGTTCGATTTCCACTTGACACGGAATATGCTTCGCCGAAGATTCTCTGCCTTTTTTGCTGACCGAAGGCGCTTGACGCCCAGCAGCTAAGTGTAAAATTTAAGACTTATAACTTTTTAGTAACTTGACAATGCTTTCCTAGTTATTTTCGTTTGTAACTGTAGTAACTGTTGTAGTCTGTATAATCTGTACTTTTTTTTACAACACATCATTTGAACTATTTCTAGCCTGGTGATGCAAACATAACATATAAACAAATATTTCCTTCGATACTACAATGATCAGAAACTCAATAAAGATTAAGATGTGATTCAAAGCATGTCGTTAGGCATATAATCTTCCTTATTCAATACTAATGGTCTGCTGTGATACACTTCGAATGCTTGTATGCATCATCGCCCTGACACAACACTATTAATTTCATCATCTGACCGTTGTCTAGTTGCAAATCAAACCCCGATAGAGTATAGGAAAACCCTTCTTAAGATTTCCAGTCTGTATGCATTGAAAAAAAAAAACTTAGGTACCTACTTCATCTATAATCGTAGATTTCAGGTGTTCCAAGGACTCGCATTAAATGTTAAATAAGCAACAGAAATTAGATAACACCAGTTTTAGGTGCTTTAAATGGTATCTGCTCGGGCAAGATCCTATCAATGCTGCCGCTCATGGCAAGTCTATACTATGGAATTAGGAAATTTGACCTCCTTTGCATCCAATCTCCGTAACATTGGTTAAGACTGAATGTATTTGAAAATTTCGTTGGATGCCACGTAGATGTCCAACTCGAAATCACAGGCATTGTTTGCTTGAGTACGCTTCTTCCTACACGAATTGGTGGTCAGGCCGTTCGCAATGCTGTTGTATTTTATAAGGACTGTTTCAATTTGAAACTAGAACAGAAACGCACCTCTCGCAATGCTGAGTTGCAGTTTCATAATTCGAGCACTATTTTGCACCAGATTTGCAACTACTCGACTACTCTGTTTTATTTCTGAGCGAGTTTGAAACACAAATGGAACTCTGTTTCAAATTTCTTTGGATGTATTTAGAGATGTTTCGAAGAGCTTCACAAACAAAAAGCGGAGAACTTCATAGAGAACAGTAAAGTTTATGGAACATGATGATTACAAACATCTTCTAGAACTATGCGTTGCGCTGAGCGTGTTGCAGTTTTATTTTTGACAGTTTCAAATTATAGAATTGACGAGTGGTTTAAAACAATTTTGAAACTCAGCATTGCGAACGACCTAAGGATACAGTATTTGTTGAGCGGATGTCGCTATTTAGATTTTAGATTCCACGAATGGCCGAATAAACCATTTATTTTAGCTTCCCATTTAAGATTTACCCAATGTTTTACTTCATACCCGTCGAGCAGTTTTGCTATAGTATAAAGAACCTTTAGTCAACGTAAGGCCGTTCGCAATGCTGAGTTTCAAAATTGTTTTAAACTACTCGTCAATTCTGTAATTAGAAACTGTCAAAAATAAAACTGCAACACGATCAGCGCAACGCACAGTTCTAAAAGATGTTTGTAATCATCAAGTTCCATAAACTTTACTGTTATCTATGAAGTTCTCCGTTTTTTTGTTTGTGAAGCTTTTCGAAACATCTCTAAATACATCCAAAGAAATTTGAAACAGAGTTCCATTCGTGTTTCAAACTCGGTCAGAAATAAAACAGAATAGTCGAGCAGTTGCAAATCTGGTGCAAAATAGTGCTCGAATTATGAAACTGCAACTCAGCATTGCGAGAGGTGCGTTTCTGTTCTAGTTTCAAATTGAAACAGTCCTTATAAAATACAACAGCATTGCGAACGGCCTAAGCATTCCAGTTAAGGAGCATTATCCCTAAATATGTGACTTGCATCGATAGTTCTATTTGAGTACGATTTGAATGCAATCGAAATAGCAGCATATTTTGCTACGAAAAAAGAAACAATAGTCGATTTGGAGAGATTTATGTAGAAAACATCCTACTTACAATATTCAAATGTATAGTTTAGGGCCATTGCGTATTACTACTAATCACCTCGAAGTCAAGAGCCCATAGTTATCCAAAATGATTATAGACAAAAAATTTACCATAGCAATGTATGAAAAGTACTGCCTTGTGGATAACCTCTAATGAGTTCCATTGTTATCGACATATCTCCCAACTTGGCTATTATTTCTCGATTGATTAGAATGATGCTATCGAAACCATGTCCCATCACTGCTCATTCTATGAAACATTAGGAATCATTATCAAAGAATCTCTGCAGTGATTTCATTTGTTCCCGGTGAACTTTGCATATTTAAAACCAACATGTACCAAGCCATTTGATAGAAAAACGCACCTGTTTGCCATATAATAGTAGCGCAGTAGGATAGTCATATAAAATGGACAACTTTAACGTGTAACTCAGTATTAATTGAGCTGAAATTTTCGCAAAAGACTACCGTGAAGTGTTATAATTTCGAGTATTGCCTAACTCTGCGCATTTTTTTTTCGATAATTGACAGTAGGTATATTGTAATATTTTCTTAATTTATATTTTTCTAATAAACTAGTTAATAATACCTATCTGAATGTCTATCTTAACTCAATATATCCTCATTAAAATTTTAATTTTTCAGAAATGCATGACATTTTGGCACAAATACTATGAAATTTGTGTCTACGGAATTATACCAGATTTTCCAGGAAAGTCGGAAAGTGTAATTTGAGATGAAAAACTGATAGCAGTTTTAGAATTTTGAAATTGAGTTAAATTATGAATATTAAAAATTTCTATAGCAACTAATCAATTTTATACGATCTAGTTGAAACTCTTCAAAATATGTGAATATCAATTCAAACATTTTGCCACAAGAGAGATAGAGAGAAATAGAAACATATAAGTTTCTAAAATTCAAATGAAAACGTAATAAATTATGCTACATTGATTGTTAACTAGCCTAACGGCGAAGCTAATCATTTAATTATTATTTTTGAATGGCAATGTCCAAAGCCAGATTATGTGAACTAATAAATCTAGATAGAGCTGGGTCTAACTAGGGTCTAACAGCTTTTGTAAACAATGACTTATCTCGATTATTTCTAGGAATTCAAGGCGCACCAACGCAAACCAACATAACCATCGGGTAAGGGAAGACTTCCCCTACCTGATGGTGATATTGATTTGCTTGGGCGAGCCTTGAGTTTCTAGAAATAATCGAGCGAAGTCATTGTTTATAAAAGCTGTTATGCCCTAATTTCAACTCTATCTAGAAATATTCCTTTTATAAAAACCCTTTTAGCATTAATTGTGGAACTTGAGGACAGAGTAATATTTTTAGAATCATGTAGTAATGAAAAATTGAAATGTTATTTTGATATATTAATAGGGACTTTCAGCTAAGAGCCCACAAAAAAAACTGGACTGACTTGACCATTATCACGAAATTCTTGCATGTACGCACACAAATGCATATAGCATCATATCATAATTTGGTATGTACACTTGAAAACATTCAAATTTAAATAAATAACTGCATTAAAGCAGGAGTGTTTCATGTGTTGATCATCATTTTAAGTTTGTCATATTCTAGGCTTTGATTCTTCTGTAATAAACCGATTACGAATTTAACAAAGTGAACGAAAGCATCTACTTAGATTGTGCCTTTGGATACTTCTACACCCCCGCGAGTCATCGCCATTATCCAGGATTTTCCACTAAATCACAACCCATTGCTTCCGTTGTCCTCTACCCACTTCATTTTTTTCTGTTGTTATGCGCCTTCGCGTCCCGATTTCTACTAACCCGATTAGCATTAGAACACACACTGATGCCGGATTCGGTTTATTTCAGCATGCAATTAGATATTACGATTTCTTCCTCAACTCCGCCAGCAGCGCTGTTCGCTGCTGGGTTGCACCGCGTATGAAAACAACCAGATACGCTGCTTCTGCTATACCTATACACCCATCAGCAGTTTCTTTGCTCGCAGATTACTTGAAGCAGAAAAAACGAACAGCCTAGCCAGCGCCGCCGTAGACGTGTAACCTCGGTAAAGCTCGATTTTTCAAGGCGATTCCAAAGATATTGAGATTGTTCGCACTCTCGTCGTCGCAGTGGCAGTCGCTCGAAGCTACCACCGTACCACTCAGAAAAGAAGCAGCACAAAAATTGAAACAAATAGCGACCAATGCCTGAATTTATAAGACACAGAGACAAGAAATATTCCAAGGTGTATAAGTATAATGATGACAAAGAGTGCTGCAGCGCTAGCACTAGCCAGACAATAATCACTGACTATACACACAGTTCAGTATGGAAAAGCCCAAAAACTTCGACGGAGCACCGTAAAAAAAAACGGGACGAGCAAATTGCCTATTTCCGTCTGCTGTTTTGCTTTCTCCGGTAGGCACTCAAAGTGCACTGTTGATGGCACTTTTGACCTACACCGATCCAACGACTCCGATCGGCACACAGCAAGGAATCCTTTTTCGATGATGATGATGATTATGATGATCGGGATTCGAACACCCAAAGGGGACACACACAAGAAAAAAAAAGAACACTCTTCTTTTTCCAATATTCACGACAATCAAAGGCGAGACGAACCGAGAAAAATGAGCACCCGATTTCCACTGACCGATTTTGGCACCGAATCGAAGCCGTCCACACTCTAGATTATCCGCAAACGATTGCCTGTGACACGGTCCACAGAATTCACCCGGAAAAGTACATATTTGGAAGGGTTTCAACATGAAAAAATCGGAACTGAACACCCGAATTCGATTGAACCTCTGCTTGTGCACTTTCGACGTCCCGTAATGGCGACCATGTTTTTTTCTTCCTCTTTGCTCGATTCGCTGATGGCTCTCCGTCCGTGTCCGTCTGTCCGTCGTTGTTTCGTCCAGTGCTCACAATTCGAGCACGTTTGTTGACGCGGAGAAAAGTTTTGACATTGACAAACAAAAATCATTGTTGACGATTAATTCGAGCACATTATAGAGGATTGTAGAGAAAAATGGTCTTCTTATACGAATTATTTATTTATTTTTTTTTTATATCTTTATTAAGCAATTATTTATTTGATTAAAAAGGAGATATACAATAGTCCATTTTACGAGATGACAGGAGCCAGTTTGCCTGACGGGGTTGATGATATTATTGATGTTGCTTTTCACAGTGGGTTGGATAACTGCCTCCTGTTCATTAATGAATGGACCACTTTATCAAGCAGTTTTAGCGTGACATTCTACCAGGGATTTCACAAAACTGGATCAACAAATTACAATTTCTTTATGAGACGCACAAAATTTCCCCGTTGTTCCTGAAAGAAAAAAATACAAAATATTTGATTTAGATTACCAGAAAAACGTAGTTTTATCTGCTGGAATGAAGTGATTCATTGAAAAATCATCTGATTTTAAACGTCTAGTAAATGTATGGTGCAATTTATGTTGATGTATTTTAGAAAAATTTATCGACGCTTCATTTCAGATTCCAAAAAGCTCGCGTCATTTTGTGTAAAATAGCAAAAGGTATCCCTTATAAACAAATATCATAAACGAGCTGTATTCCGGATGGGTAAACTATCCCACAAATAGTTTTTCTTCTAGAATCTCGAGAATATAGGGTCTTTTTTATGCTAAGCTTGAAAAATGAGAAATTCATTGCTTCCTTTTCTTAAAATCACTGGTCGAAGGTCCTACCAAAACTGGTCGACAATGATTAATTACGTAAGTACTATTTTGGGATTGTCATCACCCCTCTCCCCATTGTGACTTATTCGCTTTATTCGCACTACAGCCAACAATCAATACGAAAATAACGATTTAAGATTGTATCATTACTTAACTAGCCCACTAGACTGGTCCCAAGTACATCTATAAGCGTACCCCAGGGGGAACGACACTCATTTGGATGTATTTTTTCAGTCTACACACTTAGAAAATAATACCGAATTCGGTTTGATTTCAACCGAGTTTTTATCTGCTGAACGCTCGGTAGTCTGTTCGGTTCAAAAAAGAATAACCGAGCTGTCGTTAGCTATTTTTTACCCAAAATATGTCAAAGTTACTGAAAATCTCGGATGACGAACAATAAATTTAAGCTGAAATAACCGAACATCGGTTTACTTAAGAATTACCGAACGCTGTCAAACAAAGCGATCCACCTGTTGTAATTACTGAATTCGGTTTTTTGGGCAGCGCTCGGTTTTCACTTCAAATCCTGCTTTAAATTTTGATTAAAGATACGTAACTTCGAATTTTCATGAAAATAAAACCAATTTTGTCAAGGAAATGTAGGAAATATATTTATTTAATTTGTTTTGGGATGCAGTAATGTGCTTTTTTTTATTAAAAATAATTAAACAAAACATGTTTCGGTAAAAAAAAGAAGCTGTTAAAAATGGTTCCGCTGCTACCATGGAAAGGAGAGGCTCAATCGAGGGAAACTAAAACTTCTCGCATATAGTACTCATGCTTCCTACACCATAGACTGTTCCGGTATCAAAGGAATAGGACCGCTTGTCTTATTGCGGTGGTTCTAAACCGAATGCAGTAAACGAACCTAACCAAACCTTGAATGCAGGTGCAACGTCAAGTTGGACATTTACCAACATTGATTCCATACAGACGCCAAAGTCTACTGAGTCCTCCATGAACGCTACCGGGAAGTTGGTATCAGTGGGAAAATCATCATCTGACTGAAAATAAAAAATAAAGGTAATTGTGTAATACGATAACCTATCAAATTAACAATAATCTAATAATCTCACATGTGCACACGCTAGGGGGCGACCCCGGCGTAGTGGTTAACATCCATACCTCTCACGCCAAAGTTACGAGTTCAAAGCTCACCTCCGGACAAGTCACAAATGACCCAAGAGTGTTAAAGTGACAATAATAAAAAAAAAAAAATTGCACACGTCCGACGAGCACACGCGAGAAAAATGGCTGCCTAGTTTTAGACTCAGCTTAGAGAACCGAGTTTTCGGTTAAAATTTCCGTCGCGAAGTTGAGCGCAAGTGGAACGTTTGGCTTTTAAGCGTTTGACGTTTAACACATTTTAGCGAATATCCGGTTCAGTTTAGCGAGTTTCTCGATTTTCACGTACCGAATTCGTAAATTTCGATACTTTACCGTACTTTTCGGTTCAGTCTTCATTTATATCTGTCAAATTTATACTATGTTACCGAAATTCGGGTCTGATTCGATAAATACGCCGGAAAAATGCTTTTAAACCGTTTATTCGGTTTCTCGTTGGTAACCGAAGAGGTTCGGTAGAAAATTAAACCGAGTTCGGTATTATTTTCTAAGTGTGTAGTAATTACTTGGGATTTTCGGGGAAAAACATAATTGATGGGATTTTTTTTAGTGTGTCGTGATGACGAAAATAGAGCAGGGATAGAAAAAATAGATGGGAATAGATCAAGCAATTGATGTGATGTGAGGGGTGTTAAAAAATTTCAGAGGGATGCGAGTCTGAACGCGAAGAGGATAGGTGTAAAAAGAAGAAAAATTTGCTGCAATGAAGCGTCCATGAATTACGTAACGCTTATAGGGGGAGAGGGTGTCACCTATATCGTTACGAATTATGCATAGGGGAGGAGTAGTAAAGCTTTGCGTTACGTAACAAAAAGAACATTTTGTTTTTTTTTCGTTTCTTGATGTACAGTTTGAAAATACAGGTCTTTTTGACGTTTTTGGTACAAAATGTGCAAAATGGATCTGTTTTAATTTTATAAATTGTGATTTTTGCTACAAAACAAAATCAAAAATTAATTAAATGAAAAGGCGGGGGGGGGGGGTTTATAGAGCGTTACGTAATAAATAGAGAGGGGTCATTTTCAGTGTAAAGTTTTGTTCCAAACGGGGGGGGGGGGAATATTCATTTTTAGCTAAACGGAATTAATGGACACCGCCCAACTATAATAACCAAAGCTCAAGTGCAGAAAATGGTTCCGCACCGAATAGGTCGAAACTGCAAACTAGGAGGAACGGGTGATGGCGATGGATTACAAGGTTCCGGTTAATATTCCCAGCTGCATTTGGACGGGAATTTGATTCGCAATATTCTCGCACAGAAATACATCAGCCGGTGGGTGTCTTACTTCACCATTAACCCTTGACCAGCATCAGAGACGAGTAAAACTTGGGCCGAGTGGAAAAAATGACCTGAATTCCTTTTCCACCTGCTTGTCGTAGGGGGTTTCATTGGTAAGGCTTTTCCCGGGGCTAGAATCAGCTGAACGAAATCAACAGTTGCTTCGCGCCTGTTCGGCAACTTCCATGCTACAACACACAGAGACCCGGGCTCTTATCCGTCGAATTCGATCGGTTTGAGTCCGGGATGTGCGTTGCCGTCTCTTCCGTGATGCACTTGATGTTTTTTGCCCCCGAGACCGATTATAGACGAGTGGTCCGTCATCTTTTTTTAGTTTTCGCACCGATTTTTTACCGGTATGGCCAGCTGACATACGTGGTGTTTGTTGTGGAGAGTGTTGTAAACTGACAGTGAGTCTGGCAGAGTGCTTCGCGGTCGACCTGAAAACTTCGAAAAACTGCACGGCTTGCTTGACAATTTGTGTGCATGCAGAAGGGATAAATTGGGAATAGAAAGAATAGATAGGATGGATTGAAATTTTGTGAACGTTGAAAATTATATGAGAGGTTTGGGTAAAAATGGGATAATCCTGAAGTGTCGTTCCCCCTGGCGTACCCCATTCTTTTTTTTTTTTTTTTTTTTTTTTTTTTTTTTTTATTGGTATCAAGCTGGAGCTGCGTGACAGCTTAATTTTCAAGACTTGACCCATTTGAATAAATTTTGCTTCTATCTTTGACAATACAGCAGAAGGACTAGCCTATGTTGGCCGCTTGAACACTGGATTCCGTATGTATTGTTTCAAGATAGTTATAGAAAAAATGCTGTGACGTGTGCGCGTAGATACATCCGCGTAGTAAACCGATTGAATAAGTAAATCCGTTTCGAACGAAATATCTAAATTATGTAAGTTACGAAAACCGCGCGAATTCCGAAAGCCGTGCGAGACAACCGAAGCGAGAAAAAAAAAAAGGCTTATTATCATTTAAAGAGTGCCACCAAAATAAATGTGATAGCCTATGTTGGCAAGTTGATTAATTTTGGTTTCCTCCTTAGATATTCTACTTATTTACTACTGAGCTTTGTATCAAATTAGTTAATTTAAAGAACGTATCAATCATTTCAAGATTTCGCGACCGCACCGAACAAATTCTATAAGCTCAAAAGCGTTTGACAAGCTCTACCGAATTGCGTATCACTTCTGCGTAAGCTCCGTAGACGTAGGCGCGTTGAATCCGACAGTCGGCAAAGGTTTAACCTGTACCAACACCGCTTAAGGAACGACCTCGAGTCAGTGAAACCGTTTATAGTTAAACATCTAAATTACGTAAGATACGAAAATCGCGCAAATTGTGAACGCCACGCGAAACAACCGTAGAGAAAAAAAACAACTTATTATCACTTAAAGAGTGCCACCAAAATAAATGTGATAGCCTATGTTGGCAAGTTGATAAATTTTGGTTTCCTCCCTAAATATTCTACTTATTTTACTTTTGAGCTTTGTTTCAATTTAGTTATTTTACCGCACGTATCAATCATTTCAAGATTTCGCGACCGTACCGAACAAATTCTATACTACAGAAGCTCAAAAAAAAAAAAAAAAAAAAAAAAACTTTTGGTGAGCTCTACCGCATTGCAAATCACTTCTGCGTAAGCTCCGTAGACGTAGGCGCGTTGATTCCGAAAGCCGCGAAAAGTTAAACATGCATCAATACCACATAAGGAAAGATCGATTTTACGTATGGTTTAGTTCATAGATTAACATTGATTGCTGTTTACAAATGTAAGTACTTGAACACTAAGAAATAAGTTAACTCAAATGCTTTAATCGCATATATAAGAGATTTCGCGTATTGAGAGAATTATATAGTAATCGAGTACAACAAACTCAGGGGAATACAATACCTCCAAAAGTTTAAAAGCTAATAACTGTCACATAACTCTACTTTTACTTTTTTCCTAAACTATTCCTTTCCTTGTTAATCTGCTAAATGCTATTGGTCTGCCTGCGTTTTCTTTTTTTTTTAAATTCAATACTAAATAAGAAGATTTATTCTACAACTATAAAGGTTAGTTGCCTCCCTAAGCGGACCACCCGCATCCTAATTCTTTTGTTAATCTACTTAATGTCATTAAACTTTCTGAAGTTTATTATTTAAATTCATTTGATGGTTATGATATCTCATTAGTCTAAATTAATAAATTATTAAAAGCTCTAAGTCACCTAATCAATCATAACCCATGCTTTATTAAGTACCTGCACTTGTGCTTGTAATCTAAAATTAAACGTGTTTCAAGTACTTTTGATTTTGACCTATACCTATTTATTATATCTTAGTTCGACCCAGGTGACACCCTCAAGTGACTAAAATGCTTCATTTTGAAGTTAGTTTCCTAGCTGATTTTAAATTATATAGGGTATATGCTCCAACTACGCTCACACGTTTCCACTATGTCGTCCCACAAAATTACGTATGGATATATCACAATAGAAGCACGCAACAGTGGAAATCCCGAGCCATAGTTCAAACATTTATCCCAAATCAAAATGAAGCACATATAAGATTAGTTACAATACCATGTACAAAAATGATGTTTAAAGTTGTTCCCTGAGTAATACTTCAATGAAAACAACAATGAAAGCTTGTCACGCAAGTAGAAGGAGTACCGTTGGGCACTTTCTGAAATATTTCAATAGTATAATTCCCTTGCAAACCCAAATAAATCTATCTGCGTAAAAATAAATAAAATAAGAGTGATTTGCGGCAAAACCCGCCAGTATCACACCCAACGTCAGTGCCTATACGTAAGCGTACCACGACGCGGCTCTCAATAAAAGGAGTAACAAGTGTGATACTATCACTGCTGGACTAGATCTTTTGTTCTCTCATGCAGTGGTTTATCAGAGAGGGGAAGCTCAGCAATCCTCATTGCCTGCCCATGGCGCCATTCTATCGCGGCATGAGCCAGCAACGTCGGCCACAAACCCACCGTCTCCAACACTCCACTAGCATGAAATTAAGCCCGCCCACCAACAGCAAGGTGCAAAAACTAGCCAAGGGGAGGGATCTATAAGCGTACCCCATTCTTGTACTAAAATCTCTCGAAGTTTGTATTTGTTTTGAATCGCCTTATAAATTTGACAGAGTTTAAATAATCTCTGAAGGTCTGAAACTTTCTGAGCCAAAAGATTGGGCATATTTCTTCGGGACCCTCTGATCTTAGTGTTAGTCTATGCTACAGTAGACTGATGCAAAATTTTAAAATTTCGCTCCACAGTGCTCATACGGTTTCAAATCAGGTCCTGATTAGCCTCCCAAAATTTAAACTCATTTGGTAAGAAACTGACTTGGCACAAACTTTTCAAAGATTATATGGAAATTACTATGGGAAAACCAAACTTTTTGTTCATTGTCTTATGCCCATTTTCCATATTATTTTTTCGAAAATTTCTATAACTATTCTTACAGGAAATTTTCTTTGCTACAACTTTGCCGAATTTCGTTTTTCAGTCAAATGTCTAACTAAATTGTTATTAATTGTTTAAGAGATTGATAATTTTATGGCATGATCAAGCAGCTGTTCTGTGGGCAACACTGTATTCTGCAGTGTAACATAGTAGCCATGATATTTGTGCTCTATTCTTCGCACCAGAAACACCAATGTTGCCTGCTGAACAGTTGAATGAGCATAATCGTAAGGCATCAGTGACTTGAATCATTAATAACTTTTGTTCCTTACATTTGATTGAAAAGCAGTTTTCAACAAGGTTGAAGCCGAGGGGGGCGACTCTATCTAAGATGCAGGAATTTGTCTGCTTTGCAGTTGTGAGATGCACTCACGCTTAATAGATAGAAACACGATTGATTATGATTTTGAAGATTTCTTGCAAAAAGGTGAAGAGCGATGCGAGTAGATGAGTTTAGATGCAAGAGATGAAAAAAGATTTTTCGTAGATTGATTCGCTAATGTGAAATTTTTCGACCATTTAAAATCGAGATTTAGATGTGTCGCACCCCTCGGTTGAAGCTGAGAAAATTAGCTACAACCACTACTATAATTTTTAAAAGGATAGTGATGTTGATGAATTGTTAGATGTATATGAACAAAAACATAAGTTTCTTACTAAATTAGTTCAAATTTTTGGAGGCTAAGTAAGGCCCAATTTAGAACCGTTTAAGCACGGTGGAGCAAAAATTTCAAATTTTGCATCAGTCTAATGCTACAGCCACTGCACATGTAGTTATAATAATTAAAAGCTATGTAATATTATGTAACGCATAAAAGTGGATTTTTGAATACTCCCCACCCTCTCGTCATTCATTTTTTCCTATATCTAATACATGGCGTTTAACGCATTTCCAGACTACGTAATATTTGAATGGGCCCTTAGAAGGTCTTGATGACATTGTTCATATCTAATTATTATAACATGTTGCAAGGGCTGTAGTACGTAAGGTACGTACAGGGAAATGACATTTATATAAGTCTGGGCCAACAGGCAGCGTGCTGGTGTTAGAAGCAAAAATGTTGTAAACATTGCTGAACATCTGCGAACAAATAGATATACTTCTTCTTCTTCTTTCCTTCATTTAACGTCGGTCTCTGTTCCGCAATCTAGTGCCAATCACCGACGGACCTCGATTGCCATCCATTGACGGCAATCGAATGTGCAGGAAGGCAGCTTCCACACCTGCGTAGGATATCGCACCCATTTCAACACACATGGGCCGGGACCAACGGCTTTACTTCCCTTCCGAAGGAAGACGTGACCAGAGATTTTTATGCCTCAGAAAAATCCCACCGACCTCGGCTGGGGTTGAACCCAGACCCATCGGGGTGTTAGAAAGCATTCACGCTTACCACCAGATAGATATACCACAGACAAACAGACATAACACATTGAATATTTCTCACTGTAAAACATCGTCGCTAAAACATTACCCCCATCTGTTGAATACAGTGTGGTGGGTAGTACGCTGAACAGATGGCGGTAGTGTGTAAACGTCAAACACAAGGAAATTGAATATGCGCGCCACAGATGGCGGTACTACCAACTACGATACTTTTAAATTGACCGTTAAATGCTTGTTCGATAAACAACTTGCGACTGTTATGTCTGTTTGTCTGTGGATATACGTCACTGCAAACATACTGAGAACAGATAGAAATACGTCACTGCCAACAGCTGTTTCGTGTAAAAAGATAAACATTGCAATATAATACGAACACCACTAACCATTTGCACATTTCACTAACATCAATAAGCCCTTTGGCCCAGCCCTTATATAAACGTCATTGCGTACAACCCTAATAAAAAATAACCATAAACGAACGACAACCCAAATAATAGAACTATTCCACAAATGATTTGGATGATACCCGGAACACGTCGTTAAGCAAAATAACCATAACAATTTTATTACGGAAGGCATGAGATTTTTTTTTTCTTTGCTAGAGTGACTTTCAGCCAGTGGCTGGTTCATCGCTTTCATAAGACAATAAAATCCCTACCTTTTTTCAAATCTATACATACATTTCATGAAAGATATAGATTTTAAATGTTTAAGGAATATTTCTTTCAATTTCCCACTAGCAACATCGTAAGTTATACATGTAACGTTTTATTAACCCATTCCCCGCTTTAGATACTAGCAATACCGCCCTTTTCCACCTGTTCCAGCAGCGCCTGCAAGTTCACATCGAACAGCTCACACCTGATGGGCATTTCCAGTGAGTAGAATGGATTTTTCAGCACATAGTCTGAGTACAGTTCGTAGATTCGCTTCAACAGGACATCCATCCCGGCCTGGAGACTCTCGGCCACGACCATGAACTTTACCCCCGTCAAGGTTTGGAAGCAATGCAGCCGGAATGTGTCGGCTTCCAGCACCTCAATGCCACTGCTCTTCGGTTCCGGGCTCAGCTGGCTGGCAATGGCAAACAGCGGATAGAACATACTGGCCAGGAATATCTTCTCGTTTGTGGTCATCTTTGGCCGGCTTAACTTTAACGTCAACGGGTAGTTGTCTTGGTTTTCGATAATCTCTTTGATATCGCGTCCATCTTCCAGCACGGATCCGTTGGCCAGGATGCCGTTGACGCTGACAAGCACGTGACCAACTGGAAAATTTAATCAAAATTAACCAATGATGGGTTGTTGAGGAGTCCAAGTCAAACATAGAAATTTCTTCGAAGAAAATCGATTTTTTTCTACTGTTGAGTGTTCAGATACTCAACAAACATTTCCTACAGTTTATATCTACAATAACAGAATTTGTACAATAATGTTATCAAATACCATGATTTTGTGAACCATGGATTTCGTTGTATGCTGTAAAAATGCATAAGGGCAAATTCGAAAATATCAAAATCGGTTGAACACGGAATTGAGTGAATGTTTTTTTTTCATTGAGTATGTCCCTACAACAGAAGAAAATGTTCATTTTACCCTTAGCTCCTAATTATTATCCTCCTGGAAATTAAATGCACAATGTATGCAATTTAAGTAGTACACTATTAAAACAATAATTTCGTGTACAAATCTTACCATTGATCCCATCTTTCTGTCCAAACACGACTGAAACTTTCTTCGGCTCATACTCCAAGTTGATTTCCAGAGGATAGCTGAACGTTCGCTCGGTTTCTATCTTCGGTACATTGTGATCCAGGTTGAATATCAACCCTCCCGATTTGCTCACAATGTAAACTCCATAAATCACCATTTTTTAAGCGAGAATCTTCCGAACTTTTACAATTATCCTGTCTACAGTCTTAAATATTATGATTGATTCCTTCGATTCCTGCACGTAAACATCACCACAGGAATACAAACTTTCCTCCCAGTATTGTGACAGATATAGACAACAAGAAAACTGACGTTGTCATCGCGCCGCGCCAGCTGACAAGTTGCTCAATGTTTCGAGCAGTTCCTTTATTTACAACAATACGGTTGGGAGTGTAGTTTACATCAATCAAATCACCGTCCCCGAACAGATGATTTGGATTGCTCGTGATTTTGCGTGACTCGTACGCGTTTATTTATGAGATGGAACTATCACAATACTGTCCGTACCTGCAGTTCGTCACTGGCGACACTGCCAGAATGAGACGTATTTTTGTATAGCTGCAAGCAAAGCGAGCACCAGTAGAGAAACCACAAAAGAGAAAATCAACACCCCTTCTTTCGTCGTAACAAAATCGCAAAATTTATATGTTCCCCTTTCCTTGATAGTTCAGTTTTTACATGCAATTTACTTTCCCGAAAGATGGATAGTATATATGTAAGTATTAAATTTGTGTTCGAGCCGATTCGGTGATGATTTTTGGAATATTGTTGGAACCGTCTCTTTCCTCCTTTCCAGAACATAGGAGCTGCAATATTACTCGGTATATTAGATAGCATTAAGGGTATAGCCGTAGTTTTCTACCTAGATAGGGAGGCTAATCGGAAGGCGCTGCAATTAAAACCGGGCCGTGCCACCAAGGAAAGCCTGTCCACACCAACGCCAGCAGCTGTTTCTCAGCAGCAGCAGCAGCAGGCAGCATCATCATCAGCCAACACAACGAGATTGACGGGTGTAAACAACAAAGACAACGTCAAGCGAAAAGAGTGCGTATAAATTAAATGTGATTGAGATTTTATTTTGCGTCGCTTCAAAATGTTCCATTCTAGGGATTTGAGGGAATACCTCGATTTGCTTCTGCTTGCTGATTCTATTTCCGGTCAGGTTCAGGCCACTAATCGGATGCTGTATATTTCTGACAAAATTTGAATTATTAAACCTGTTGGACGAGAGCCATTTGGCTTACACTTGCTTTTGGCAGTGTATGTACATTTCTAGATAGAGCTAGAATAAGGGCCTAACAGTGTTTGTAAACAATGACTTCTCTCGATGATTTTTAGGAATTTAAGAACCGCCCACACAAACCAACATCACCCCTACCCGATGGTTATGTTGGTTTGCATGGGTTGTGCCTTGAATTCCTATCATCGAGAGGAGTCATTGTTTACAAAAGCTGTTAGGCCCTTATTCTAACCCTATCTACGGTAACGTTATTGCATGTAATGTAGATTTCCAATTATGAGGCAAAATGGCATAAGAGAGGTCAGGTTCCTACTATTTGAATTACTTAGCACGTAACGGCAAAAACGTTCATAGGATTTTGTAACAAGCATTATTTTGATGGCAAATTAATCAAATCGAGAAATTTCACAATTGTACAAGGAAATTGCTGCTTTCCAAGTAGGTAGTTGTCAATCCTTTTTAAATCGAATAATTGAAATCACGAGAACTGTTTTGAAAACATCATTGACACCTCATACAAAACGCATGATGTACGGATTTCGTTCCCCAAAGGTAGTGTAATTATTTTCCATGAAGCCCATAACCGCAAGTCAGTCCCATCTAGGGGAAGGAGATCTATCTTGAGTAAATATAATGATGCGATTTTTTGTCTAACATTCTTAATTCTATAGTATTAAGCCTAAAAACATAGCTGTGACGTTGTTTTATAGTTTATTTAAAGAATTCATATTTTTTTCCTAATGGGACTGACTTGCGGTTACTTTTTGCTGTAGGACAATTTTAATTGTGGTATTGTGTTTCATTTTTATTGAACAAATCACCTTTTCTCAAAAGCACAGCTCAAAAAACATAGAAAGATAAACTGAATAATGATGCCAACTTAAAATTAATAAAAATACAGATGGGACTGACTTGCAATAATATATAATAGTGTGCGGCATTGGAATCGATTGTCAAGTACAGGGCTGTTACAACAGGCGCGGATTTCGCGAATCTCACGGATTTCGCGGATTTGACTTTCAGTCGCGAAAATCGCGGAATCAGTAAATGATGTCGTGAAAATCGCGAAGGGACTGGATGTGCTGTCACAAAAATTGTGGAATTCATTGTAATCTTTCCGTCCCGTCCCCAATTTTTTACCGGTTCAAACCAAACACCCTGCAAATAATCGAGAGATGATCTCAATTCCAAAGTCACTACGGATTTACACGGAAATTCCCTGAGGTCTGTCCAATGTAAGACATTTTCCTTATTTCCATTATGAACATAGCATTTTTCGTTGTCAAATCATAAACGAATCGTATATATGCGAGCAATTGCCATGTATACCGGATATTCTAGGTTCTCCAAATCGTCCTGGAGTTCAGTTGATTTGTTCTACTATATCGAAATATATCCAAACAGATTCAAAGTGTCTATGTGGATTGTACCTGACCTATTGCTACGTATACAAGATGTAATAAGTTCTGAAATCATTTTGGATATTAGATTATTTTTCTACTAGATCACCCAAGACTAATTCAATATCTGTAGTATCGAAATATGCCCAAATAAATTTGCAGTGTCTATGTGGATCATGCCAACCTATTTCTGTGTATGCCAAATGTTCTAGGATTTCCAAATCGATAATTCGATACTACAGATATTATCCTAGTCTTTGTTGATCTAGTTAAACAAATCATCTGAACTGCAGGACGATTTGGAGAACCTAGATCATCTGGTATACGTGGAAATAATTAAACATTATCCATATAGACACTATGAATCTGTTTGGATATATTTCGATACTACAGACTTTATCCCAGTCATGGTTGATCTAATAGAATAAATCATCTGAACTCCAGAACGATTTGGAGAACTTAAACATCTGGTATACATGACAATAGTTCATGCATGATCCACATATACACTGTGCATCTGTCTGGAAATATTTCGATAGTAAAGACATTGTCCCAATCTCGGTTGATCTAGTAGATCAAATTATCTGAACTCCAGGACGATTTGAAGAACCTTGAACATCTGGATTACTCGGAAATAGATCATGCATGATCCACATAGACACTTTGAATCTGATTATACATTTTTCGATACTATAGACATTATTGCAGTCTTGGTTGAACTAGTAGAACAAATCAGCTGATGTCCTGGACAATTTGGAAAACCTATAATTTCCTGTATACATAGTAATAAGTCTTCGGTTATTATTTGACAACGAAAAGTGCTAGGTTAACATTAGAAATAAAAAAAAAATCATGAAAATGTCTCACCATTGGACAGAACCCAAGGAATATCCGTGTAAATACACAACCGTGACGTGACCAACAAGTGTGACTTATGAAACTCTGGTAATTTCTCGATTATGTGCAGGGTATTTGGTTTGAATACGTCAGAGACGCAAAGGTTAAATTTAAAAAAAAATTGCATTGCAAATGAAAATGCATTTTTTTAAATAATGTTTCATCAAATCTAGGCCGGTATTATGCAATAGAATCTCATAATGTAAGGGTGTTTTATTATGTTCACTAATTACTCAGAATTTATACTATACATAAATAACTGAAGATGATAAATGCTATTTAAAAAAAATCAAAGGTTACAAACGATACTCCTTTAGCTCAGTCGGTAAAGGCGCAGCTACAAAGCAAGTCCATGCTGGAGGCGACTGAGTTCGATTCCCGTCCGGTCTATTAATTTTTCGGGTTGGAAAATTTCTCTACTTTCTTTGGCATAGGATGGTACAGGCATAGAAAGCTCTTAATTAAAATGTGAAAGTACTTCAAAGAACACTAAGTTGAGAGCAAGCAAAAATCTAATATGCTACTATATAAGCAATAGGCTTGAAATGCCATGTAGTAGTATACAAATGCTATTTTTAGACAATGAAAACAGTTTTTTTTTGTCGCGGATTAGTATTTGAAGTCGCGGATTTCTCTTGAGAAATCGCGGATTTCGCGGATCAAATTTAGAAAATCTTGTAACAGCCCTGCAAGTACCATAACTTCACAATGAACAGGAAAAGTTTCCTACTTTGGTCAGAAAATGTCGCGAAAAATACCAAAACTACGTTGTCCCGTCCATAAGAGTCCATAGAGAAAAAATCTTCAACAGTGTGTTTCGTAACTTGATGTTTTCACGAATGGGACAACTAGGTATCAGCGTTGCCAGATTGTTTTCAAGTTTATCGGTATCAAAGGTTTTAAAAAATCGGTATTTATTGGTATTTACTATTTTAATTTATTTTATATTTCCGGAGAACTTCGAGATTAGGGCATAATTGCTTTTGTAAATAAACACTTCATTTGACGATTTCACGCGAATTATAGCTCAATCTAAAAAACTAACAACACAAACAGGTAGGGGAATTTACGTATTCTTGGCAACCTAAGCAGCGACCTTCTTTCTATAGCCTTTTTCTCTAAGGAACGCACACATATGCAGTATTGGTTTGTTTACAATCTTTTGCTGCCAGCTGCTCTAACAATTTCAGTCGAAAGAATTGTCAAAAACTGTTTTGAAACGCTTTTACAAAGCTCCAATCTTCTCTAGTGAGAGCGAGTATTGTCGGCAACCAGTTTTTCTTCGGCAACCGTTCCATTTGAACTGCATGTAAATCTGCTGTTCTATTATCGGCAACTCGAAAACAACTACAATTTGTAGTGCGTGTGTTGCATTTCAAGAAAACCTTGCTAGATTGCTTTTTCTCAGTGGTAAAAATATAGTCAAATTGAAGCTGAAAGCATAAAGAATCGTTTGCATGCATTCAGCGAAGTGTTTTAGTAAGAAAATCCAGTGAAAATAGTGTTTCAATTTGTGTTGCCGAAAATAGTCTGTCATGCCGAAGCCGTCATTTCCCCTAGATGAATGGTTCCTCTATCAAATGGTATAGTTTGTTCACTAGATTGTTTTTTTATTCGCGAGAAATTAGCGATTGACATGTTTGTTTACAAAAGCAATTACGCCCAAATCTCAAAGTTCTCCGGATTTTAGCTGGTTTGAAAGCGAAAATTTTAACATTTGGACTATGATCGGAAAATGCTGAAAGAAAACTCCAAGGAATGTTTGAATTAGCTTCTGAAGGAACATCCAGAGAAAGAAGAAAGGAGCTCTTCTGGGCGAAATTTGAGGAAAGTTCTAAGAAAAGTCGGAGAAACATCCGCAAACTACCAAGACAAGAATTGAGAAACTTGTAGTGAATATTCAAATCGGAAAAAAAATCGGATGTCACATCCAAAGGTCCAGAAAAGTTTCGGAAAATGGAAGTAAATTCCAAAAGTAGCCAGTTCTAAGGGAAGCCAGAAGAAGTTCAGAAAAAACCTTCCAATAAAAGTCGGAAACCTATGGCACTTCCAGAAGAAGACGGAAGAAACTTCCTGAAGGCGCAACCAGACACTTCCTAAGGTAGATTGCAAAAAACTTCTGGAGAAATTCGGTAGCCAGAGCGCCTACGGAACAGTCGAAAGAAACAAGGACATAATTCCGGAAGATAATTGGGGCTGTTTTGTTAATGTAATTTTCTGGAAGTTAATGTGGCTGTTTTAGAGTTCTCTGATCATCCTCGAAGTTCTCGGAACTTCCCTGATAATCATCTTTGAAGGTATCTGGACTTTCTTGAAGATTACGAAATTTCTCAACTGCTCTCACAATTTTCTTGAATTTATTGTATCATTAGCATTGAAGATCTCTGATCTTCCCAATTTTTAAAATTTTAATTCTTGGCGCTGCCATTAAAAAGCACGGAACTTCCCGTGAAATGTTCTCACAGTGTTCTAAGGTTCATGTAACTTCCCTTACGTTTCCTAAATTT